TTTATTATAGATACTTATTATTAGCTTAGTTGTGGAAAATAGCCAACATTCATTGAAAAACATTATGAGTAAAGGGAAATTTTAGTTTTTTTTAAAAAAGATTTTATTTATTTATTTGACAGAGAGAGACACAGCAAGAGAGGGAACACAAGCAGGGGGAGTGGGAGGGGGAGAAGCAGGCTTCCCGCGGAGCAGGTAGCCCGATGCGGGGCTCGATCCCAGGACCCTGGGATCATGACCTGAGCCGAAGGCAGACACGTAATGACTGAGCAACCCAGGCGCCCCATGTCACTGTCTTTAATGGCTTCATGTTACTCCTAATATAAAATCTATCCTCCATGGCATGATTGACAGATCTTATATGATCTGACCCTGCCCACATCTCTAGTCTCAACACCCCACAACTACCCATATCCTACACACCAGCAACACTAAATGCTGAACTGAACACAGTTCCCTGAACATATCATGCATTTCCTTATCTCTAGGTGGGAAACATGCAGTTCATTGTCCACCCCACGTCCCCTAATTCTGTTATCTGGCAAACTTCTCCTTCTCTAGACCTCAGCACAGTGTCATTTCCTCACCACCATCACCTTCACTAGACTGAGTTGAGTGTTCCTGACTCTGCAGGCTTTTCCTGTGCCCTTGTCACGTGTGGTATTGAAAATACCGGGGGTGCCTGGGTGGCTCAGATGGTTAAGTGCCTGCCTTCGGCTCAGGTCATGATCCCAAGGTCCTGGGATCGAGCCCCACATGGGGCTCTCTGCTTGGCGGGGAGCCTGATTCTCCCTCTCCCTCTACTGTTCCCCCTGCTTGTGCTCTCTTGCTCTCTCTGTCAAATAAATAAATAAAATCTTTAAAAAAAAAAAAAAAGAAAAGAAAATACCTGTTTATACATTTGTCTGGTAGCAGGGCTCCAGACTCAATACCTCATACATAATAGGTGCTCAACCAAATGGCTGAATAAGTAAAGGAGAAGCCAGCAAGAAAATGGATGTGGGATTATATAAATCTAAGGGTTTGCCATTAACCATGTTAAGGTGTGCCCTGAAAGAGGGGAAATTAAGTCTCAGGGCTTAAGGGCTTAGCAATGTCTACTTAGGATGCAAACTGTGACCAGGCAGCTATAGGCATAAAGAAGACTTGTGAGTTTCTTCTTCACCTGGAAGCTTTCCTCTACACCCACCTGAAGTGAAGGAGGGCAGCTAAGGAGGTGAGGAGGCAGAGTGGAGTCATTCCTGTTGTTTGAACATCTGCTCTATGCCAGGCAGGAACAACCTTGTACCACTCCAGGGGTCATACTCATTGGCAACTATCACTTCCTGTGAATGGTGTCCTACCTGTGTTGTTCAGGGGCCAGACTTTGCCTTATTTGGTCTCATTTAATTATTTTTCTTTAAAGATTTATTTATTAGAGAGAGAGAGAGTGGAGGGAAGGGCAGAGGGAGAGAGAATCTTAAGCAGACTCCCCACTGAGCATGGAGCCGGATGCAGGGCTCGATCCCACGATCCTGAGATCATGACCCGAGCCGACGTTGAGAGTCAGACGCTTAACAGACTGAGCCACCCAGGTGCCCTCGCTCTCATTTAATTCTTCAAATAACTCTATGGGTTACACGATAATCTCCTCATTATACAGACAGGGAAAAGAAGCTCAGAGAAGCTATGTCTCTGGCTCCTCATGCGGCTTATAAGCATGGGGAGGGGGCGGCATTTGGATCTATGGCTACAGAAATACTGCCAAAAGTGCAAGCGGGGCATTCCAAAACCATCCAGAGGTAAAGGAAGGCAGGGTCAGGCCTAGGGGTGGGGGAGGGGGTAGTGGGAGACAGAAGAAAAATCCACTGGAATCCCTTACTCCAAGGATGCCTGGCAGAGGGGCACCCTAGCCCCCACTCTGAGCCAAATGCCAGGGTGTCACATCCATATGAAGGAAGGGGTGTCTCTCTGGACCTCATACAAAGGTACGGCATGGGCTGGCAGAGGCCCCCCCTTTCCCCTAATTCAGCACCCAAGGACAGCAAAGCCCGGTGAAGATGAACAGGGCCACCCAGGATAGGGGAGGAAACATGCTACAGTGATCAATACCCATGTGCTGTAGTTTCACCAGATTTAAGGTTTTGCTCTGACTGCCAGGGAGCACCTTCTCGGGGCCCTAGACCTCTTGCTGAGGATGGTAAAGTCACAGGATGGCTGTTTGCGTTCAGGGCCCTAAGACACATGGACCCGGTTCAAATCTGCCAGCCCCTAGTGGGTGACCCTGGGCAAGCATTTTTGCCTCTCTGGGCCTCAGTTTGCCCATCAGGTAAGTCTATTCATATCCACCTGCCGGGCTGTCGTGAGGATTACACACAGTCATGTGGGTGATGCTTGGCTCAGGGTAAGTGCCCAAGAACCCCTGAGGAGCTACTCCTGGGGTTTCCCCATTGTGGGCAGTCGCCTGTGGGAGGCCGAGAGGAGTTCAGTGCACACCCGGCCTCTCAGTTCTTGCCTTCCATCCCCTGCAGTTCCTGAAGAAGCACAAGGACCCTGGAGCAGTACTGTTGCTGCCTTTCATTGTGTCCTGCATCAACCTAGCAGTGCCACGCCTCTACTCCCTGTTCAGGCTCGTGGAGCGGTACGAGATGCCACGGCACGAAGTCTATGCCCTCCTGATCCGGTAGGTGTGTCCGCCGCCTCCAGCACCAGCCTCCGTTTCCATGGAGGGCAATGAGGTGGGAGCTAGAAAGGGTTAGGCTCAAGTACCAAAGTGCTGTTTTCCAGAAAGAGTTCCAAGAATAGAGTGTGTTCGTGCGGTGGGGGCTCATTGCCAGAAAATCCAAAAGGTGCTCAGGAAATACGGAGTAGTCCATCTGCCTTTTGCTCAAAGTAAGGGCTTATCTTTCCCGATTGCGATCAGCCTGAGGTTTAACATAGGTCTCAGTTATGAGATGTACAGATGTGTATGTTGTGGACTGCAGAAAGGCTCCTGGCTGAGGAGCTGCGTGGGGACTGAAATTTATCCAGTGTTCCCATTAGTCAAGCTGTGAGCCCGGATAGCCACTGCCTCAGCTGGGAGGAAGAGAGGCATTTTTGTAATTCAGACACCCATAGGGAGGTAGAGAGGGTACTTTTGGCAATTCATTGGCTGGGACACACATCACTTTTTGCGCTAGAGGTGAACCCAGGGTTTCGATAAACAAAGCATAAAATTACCCAAATTTTGTCCTTATTCCTTCTTCTGGTTAGTTCCCTGACCAGTTCCTGGTTATGGTGGTGTTTATAATAATAGGTCTGTCCAATGCAAATTGAGTTTCTTTACTGATCAATTCAAGAGCCTTTGCCTTCCATGCCTCTGAGATCTGAGTCCTGACCAGCTCTCCAACAGCATTTGGAGAATTTGGATGGAGAGCTGGTAGACCTGTGTGCTTAGTGGGCCATTTTGAACCAATCACTTTGCTATTTGTGTTTTTCCTGATCACATAAAGAGGTTAATGGACTTTTCGCAGACATCAGCCATTTGTACTGTTTCACAAAATATTCAAAATGTTCAAAATCTTCTCTGCATGAAGAGGAAATGGGAAAGGTTCGAAATAGGCAATTCTTTTTGATATAAGATGAGCTTTTCTCAGCTTAGATGAGTATGTTTTCTCAAGTTTAACGTGGAGCTACCCTGCAGTAAAGGTACACTAACTCATTAATCCAGGAGATATTGAGGGTCTACTGCAAGCTAGATATGAGCAAGAGATTAGGATCTGGCATTGAAAAGATCCAGTTTCCTTCCTTCATGAAACTTACTGTCTAACACAATGATTCTCAACCTTCAGCATACACCAGAATTACCTGAAGGGATTGCTTGGCCCTGTCCCCAGAGTTTCTGATTCAGTAGCTCTGGGGTGGGGCCTGAAAATTTGCCTTTCTAGCAAGTTTACAGATGAGGCCGATGCTACTGGGTTGGAGGACACACTTTGAGAACCACTGGCCTAGAGGCACACAATTGTTGGCACACCAATGCTGAAGCCCTATTAAAACCAGCACGTGTTGATTTAAGGCAAAATGACTGGGTTTAAGAGCTCAGGGGGTTAGAGCAGATGGTCCTCTGTTTCAATCTTTGTCATGCCCCTCGGAAGCTGTGTGACCTTGGACAAATTGTTTCACCTCTGAGCTTCAGTTTCTTCGTCAGTAAGATAGACATAAAATACTATCTACGTGATGATAGAGTTGTAAGTATTAAGAGTTATAAAGTTGTAAACATTAACTTGTAAAGACTAAGGTGATTCAGTAAAGTTCTTAACACAGTGTACTGTCCATGGTCAGCACCCGGTGAATAGTATGTATGTTTACTGTTATTATAGTCAATGAGAAGTGAAATCAGATAGTTTGGAGATGCACCGAAAGAGGGTATATCAGTTGATATAAATTAGGTTATGCTGCAGTAACAAACATCCCCTCTCTTCTCAGTGGCAGTGGCTTAGAACACAAAGATTTATTTCTTGCTCATATTGTATGACCCTTGTGGATGGCAGGGGGTTTTGGTCATGTCATTCATGCCGGGATCCAGGCTGAGAGCAGCAACCATCTCAAATATTGCTGATGGCCATTTCAGAGGGAAGACAGTGAGTTCCAGAGAGTCTCATTGGCATTTAAATGCTGCAGCCTAGAAGTGACACAAAGTGACACACATCACTTCTGCTCACAACTCATTTGCCAGAACTAGCCCTATGGCCCCACTCAAACCAGAGGGGAGCAGAAATTTCAGTCCTACCACATGACCAAAAGGACATATTGGCAAACAGTACTAATGACTGTCATGGAAGGTAATGATAGTTGTTTTCTCTTCTGTTATCTAGAAACATCTTTCTGAAAATATCAATCATTGGAATTCTTTGTTACTATTGGCTCAACATTGTGGCTCAGGCTGGTGAAGAGGTGAGATTTCTATGCTGTTCTGCCTTGAGTTTGGTTTCTTAACCTTTGACCACCAGGGAAGAAGTGAGTTTCTCAGAGTTTCTACTCATGATCTTAGAGTAGATATCATATTATCCTTCCATTCATCTATCTATCCATTTATCCATCCATCTCTCCATCCATCCCTCCCTCCCTCCCTCCATCCATCCATCCATCCATCCTTGGGCTGTGCACTCAAAACCTCCTTCTCCTTGTTCAGCCAAATCTAAAAGCTCTCAGTCCATCAGCTCATAGCACTGACTTCCTGCACAGGTAATTGGCTATCAGTTTTATGAACTGACTAATTCAGCCTTCCAGTTTGTGCTAGCCTGCTAAACTCCTAGGCCACTTTCTTTTTTTTTTAAGATTTTATTTATTTATTTGACAGAGAGAGAGAGAGAGAGAGGGAGCACAAGCAGGGGGGAGCAGCAGGCAGAGGGAGAGGCAGACTCCCCGCTGAGCAGGGAGCTGGATGTGGGGCTCGATCCCAGGACCGTGGGATCAAGACCTGAGCCGAAGGCAGACGCCTAACGACTGAGCCCCTCAGACGCCCCCTAGGGCACTTTCTTAGTCAGGCAGATATTAATGAATTTTCATGAGGTTAATGAAACGAGTAAAGGCATTATTGCCATCGATGCGTTCTGCTCTCCCTGGCTGAGAAATGGGATCCAGAGGGCATAGGACAGGGATGAAAAGTTTTAAGAGGAGAGATAATGAGAAGGGAAAGTTTGGGGTACATGTGGGGGGCAAGACTTAGCGGGGGAAGAAGGGGCACAGAAAGGGAATAAACACCCTTGAAAACAAACTCAACAAGTTAATGGTGCATCTCTGCCCAGAGTGGGTCTGCTTTTCTGCGCACACAAGGACTCGGTCAGACCGAGCCACCAGCCATGTCCTGATGAGTGCAGGATGCCAGGAACAGATGGAAATTGAGCAAGAAGCAAAGCCGCTTCGCATCTCCTGACTCTTGTTTGCCTTTCAGTGTTGGGAAACCCTCATTGGCCAGGAAATCTACCGACTCCTTCTGATGGATTTTGTATTCTCTTTAGCTGATTCCTTCCTGGGCGAGTTTCTGAGGAGGTAAATATTTGTCAGCCTTGAGTAATTAATACCTGATGTTGGAACCAGAGCCATAGTCTTGGCTGAGCAGGAAGTATGGGTATCCTTTATACTTATATACTTAGTACATAAGTATCCCTTATATACTTTAGTGTGCACTGTTAGAAGTCTGCCTTTCATTCTTTGGGATACTGATTCTTTCTGAATTAACTGATATTTCGCTTTTATCTGACAGTCCTGTTGTCCAAGTTCATTTGGTTCAGCTAGCCCTTTACAACCTTCTCTTGAAAAAAAAAAAAGGGCTAGAAATAAAACATAGAAACTGAAAGTCATTTGAGAACTTTCCACCATAATTTTTTTTTTTAAAGATTTTATTTATTTATTTGAGACAGAGAGAATGAGAGAGAGAGAGAGCACATGAGAGG